GGGCTCTTCAAGCTTCGCCAAACTGATTTATCACCTCGAAAACAGGATGTTGGAGTGGTGCGCAACAGTTTTGCAGCTTTGAATCCCGTCCTGCTAGGACCCAGATCTCTAACAGAATCACTTGCGCGGGGAACGCTGATCTGTTACAATGTTGAATGCGGAATTTCGACTGCGAGGCCGACTCAAGCATCACAGGCTGGTGCTTGCGGTGGTTACGCAAGTTAAGCACTCTCAATTATTTAAACATCGTGGACATATATATATATATATATATATACATATATAAGGACTCAAGGCAAAGCTTGTTTTCATGACCTCCGATGGGCAGTTTGTGAAGATTGGTACCGCCCCGAGTGGCGAAGGCCCGGTACGAAGGAAAAGAAGCTCCCTGACGCAAACATATCAGAAGCACAGGCAAGGAGCTTCTTCGCCAACTCAAGGGGTTTTCTTAACGGTTCCTGGCTCTCTTCCGCGTCCCCCAGTCGAAGATGGAGGCTCAAGCCGTGGTGATGGTTTCTGGCGTTGGTACTGTTGCCAGAATGGCAAGATTTTAGGATGCGTGTGCGGCATTCGGATCTCCCGCAAGACGGCGACTGCATCATTCAAGTAGAGCCGGGCGCTGGACAAGGACTGCCATCGGCCGAGAATGCAAACCTGATCCAAGGAGTGCCACTTGTTGAACCAGAAAGTCGCACCACCGCGCCTGAACGAATACGGCTGAAAATGCAAGTCTTCCAAGCCAAGTGCCAACAATCCTGCACTAAAGCGGCGACGCCAAGTTTCGGGAGAGACGCCGACCAACGCTTGACCCGGATGAGATCGGATCCAAACGCGCAGACGGGAGCAAACATCACAGACACGAAGTGTCACGGATTCAGCATGACCGGTTCTCTGACTGGTTTTGGTGTTTTTGAGGGAAATCACTGCACTTGTAGCTTGAGGAGCCACCGAAAAGTCACCAGCCTTTAAAGTGAGAACTTCACCGGTCCGCAAGGCCGCATAAAAACCTAAGAGTACACTGAGAGCCATGCTTTCGTCTTGATGAAACAAGAAGTATCCGGCCAAAGCCTGAAGCAAATGCTCCGGGAAAGGGGGTGCTCGGCATGGGGCTTCTCGTAGGCACCATGTGCGCATGAGACGCCAACTGAAAGCAAGATTATGTCGCAAGCTGGGCTGCGCATCTTGGACAGCTGCCAAGGTATCAGTGGCACGCCCTTTCGAAAAACCATGTGCCCACAAGTACTCGAGATAATCTGAAAGCATGGTATCCAACGTGCCAACTTGCGATGGCAACTGCAAATCGCGCAATGTCAAGTACTCTTTCAAGTGAGCCAATGCATCATCGTAACGCTTGCGAGTTTTGGGCTGCACTGTCAATTCTTTCAAGGAACCTAAAGCCCGTCGTCGGGAGATGCGTTCTTGCTGTTTGCTAGAGTCCGCAACTTGTCTCACTTTCCCCACTTTCGGACGTGACTGCGCCGGCTTGGCGCATCAGCTGGATTGTGGGCAGAGCCCACGTAAGACAGTATAAGATGGACTCCAGCCAGCTCCCAGCAAATACGCATTCAATCTTCCTAAAACTCGTTGCATTTTGCGACTGGACGAGCGACCACGCGACACGCAATGCAGCACCACCAAATTGTCAAGCAAGTGAACAGCTCGGCAACGACGTTCATTGAGGCGACACAAGCGCCAGCGGACCGAGCTGAGGAGCGCCCTGAGCTCTTTAATGTTAATGTGGTCACGTTTCGACCGCCATGTCCAACCGCAGACGGGCTTCCATTTCCAGAGTTTCACCGGCACCTGCGCTCGCAAAGACTGATATGCCGTGTTGGGCACGGACTCACCTTTCACGAGCAAGTCGTCACCTCGACAACTGGCCAGAGTCCCCAAATGTGCTGCAAGATCCCTAGCAGCCAAGTTGTCTTTGCAGGGAGAAGGTGGCAGGCGCGGAGGAGGTCGGAACAAGAAACCACCCAAAGTATTCAAAGCTCCTGGTCGGAAGCGCTCAACCAAATGTTGCAAAGTCATGTCGGGGCACAAGCCGCGCGGCAAGAGAAGATTGCGGAGAAACCATGCAACAACCGGCAGAGACCACATGCAGCTCAACAACCGCAGCCGAGTGTAACGCAGAAGTCCCGGCGGCTGTTTGTCTGCTTTCTTCAGAGCTGCACGGGTATACCCAACTGGGAAACCCAGCATAACTTCCCTTTCCGACTCGTTAGGTGGCCGCAACGTGTCTTTGCGGTTCGTCAAACAGTTCTCCGGGAGGTAATGGAACGGCGGAAAGGAGTGCCTATCAGCAGCCCAGCGCGACAAAGTCTGGGAACCAGTGGAAGTTTCGGTGCGGAAGTGACCTTCGGAGTCAGACGATGCAGAGGCAGAACGAGAAGAAGCAAATGCAGGAAAGCGCTGGTTTGGGGACATGAGCAACCAACCTGGACTCACGACATCTTCCCAACGGACAGCAATCGTTAAAGTGACATGTGCTAAGCTTGACGGACCCACTTCACATGGAATCCACAGCTGCGCTTCTAGCTTGCAACTCCCAGCTGACCCAGTACAAGCGTTTCTGGTGGCATCTGCTCAAGTCAGCTACGTCAACCAAGTAGGGAACAACTCCGAGTTGGCGAGTGCGAACCTCACGTTCTGGCGCATGAGGATTACCACTGGAAACGTGGAACCAAGCAAATTCAGCCCAAGGCAAGTGCTGCTCAACAAGCTCACGGACACCATGAATTTGCTGTTGAATCATGTCACTCGGCAAGTGATCTGGTTCACCAGCACCAACCACAACCAGCGTAACGCGGGAGAAAAGTCCCGCCCAATTGTCTGCAGCTTCTTTCAAGAAGGCATTATAGTCGCACACAAACCTGGTGTCTGGAAAGTGGCTCTGGACGACTGAGTCCGAAGCATCGCTGCAAACAGCAACTGGAGAGAAGTCTCGTCTGAAGTGCATGACCGCCACGGGGCTGGCAGCCAGGAAGCACAACAGTTCTTTCCGAACTCCGGCAGGCACGGGCAACCGCTGCGACACGGAAGACTTAAGGCTTTGCACAAAGCGCCACACCAAGTTCAGCATACTCAACAAACCACGCCTGTACATGCAGATGTAAACCAACCCGCCGCAACAAGCTTGCATTTCTCTCAACGTGCAGGTTTGCTGGTGGGCCAGAATCCAAGCTCCGGCGAGGAATTTAAGTTTCTTGGACGGGTTAGGCTCACACGTCCCAGCCTCCCCATCCAACAGTGCACCTTGGACTTCGGCTTTGGAGCTGCGTTCTACAGCTTTCTTCGGGTGCCGCGGAACGCCGAGCGTCGCATACTCGTTTCTTAAGCGGGCAATCCCTGCAGACACCGACCCTGCAAGCTCAGAAACATTCCGACAGTCCACCTTTTCAAGCTCATCGAAGTTATCTAGGTACACTCTCCATGCTGGACAGGCGCTTGAATGCCCCTTATCAGCGCGCATTTCTGCGTGAGGTTCCCCAGCATGAGAGTTCAAGACTAGGTTCCGATGTATGTGTTGGGCGATGGCAACACTGTGAACATGGGAAGGACTTTGCTACGCAAGTAATACCTACGACCATCCTCCGGGCACAAGGAATGAGGCACTTGTCGTGAGAACGCCAAATACTTGTACCACTTTTCTGGGAGAGCGATGATGTAGAACATGCATCTGATATCCTCACTGCTCGTCAGGAGGATTTCTTCCTGCCCCAGATAAATTGGCACAAATTGCGAAATGGCTGGTAGTGTTGCAAGGTCGCCACTCAACGGGACGAACAAAGTGTTGAGAGGAACGAAGTTCATGATCAAACGAAAGGTCTCCACATCACCATTCCACTCATCCTTGCTGACACCGAACAAGCCACCCAACACTTTACAACCTCCGACGCAATGGATTTCATCCTCAGCGATCAAGCCACAGACACGTTTGTCCAACAAACCTTTCGCCACTTTGGGCCAATCATCCGAGCTCACCATTACCTTCGGACTCTGTTGCGGGAATGACGCCGCATCGGTCATGTAGGACTCAGGGTTTTGGATGAAATGCCGAATGCCCGCAGTACATACATCCAAAGCTTTGACAACTCCAATGCAATCATCCGGCAGTGCGGGAGCCACATTCTCCCATCGAAACCATCGTGAAACTTTGACTTCCTCCCCCCAGTAGTTGATTAATTTGGTATTGAAAAACTTTGACCATTCAAACACGGGAAAGGTTTCTTCCCTTTCAAACATGCCTTCTAATTCAAGCTTCAGAGATTCTCTTGACAAGCAGCTCCTTGACTGCGCGCTCGTCATCTCTTTTAAGCTACCAAACCCTGCAAGCCAATTCAATGAAACGGCCAAGGCCAAAACCCAAGAATCTTCATCAGCGCGCATTGTCCCTCGCAGCTCCTCCTCAGAGAGAGGAAAAGGAGGTCCCGGATCTCCATTTTCCATGGCGACTTGCCCAACCGGAGGTTGTTTTGGAATCTCTTTGAGGAGAGCTTGGAGAAGCACCCTCCCAATTTTGAGGAGGGGCATCCCCGCAATCCGAGGCGCGCGCATCCGATTTCCAGGATTGCAAAAGGACTCCCACAAATCAACGCCGGATCCAGTCTTCGCTGGCATAGCACATGTTAGCACCACCCGCGGCTCCCCAAGGTTCGGACCCTGGCGCCCACGGTACGGCCCTGAATTAGCAGCGCTTCCGAGAAAGCACTCTTGCACGGAGGATTTAGGAGATGTCTTCGGAGACGATCTCCCTTTCAGCCATGGCTTCACACTACAACTGGGCGCAGCAACCCTCCCAACAAGCCCAACATCCACCTTCACCTCCACGTTATGGGAGGCGATCTCTCCACGGGCCTCCCTTTCATGTCCTGTTTTCCTTTTTTGCCTTTGTCCTTCCCTTTCCCTTTGTCTTCCTCCTGACTCTCTCTGAACGACTCCTTCCCTTTGTACCAAGCTCCCTTGCCGGCACCCGTCCTGGGTTCGAACCTCCCGTTTGGCTAGGAGGCTAGCCAGCGAGTCTCTGATTCCTCGCGACTTTCTCGATTCGCTATTTTCGCTTCCTCTCGCCCTACGAGGCTGGCCCCCTCCTCCGGGACGACTTCGAGCTTCTGGCACGTGCTCCAATGAGAGCCCGCACTTAAGCTTTCCAGAGACTTGAGCCTCTGGCAAAGTACATCGGCTGCAGAGGCAACCCGTCCCCGGAGCAACTCGTCCAGAGCATACGCCACAGCCAAACATTCCTTGTTGAGGACAGGGCTCATGCGATGCCGCAGGTTCTGATGCCAATATCGAACAAAAAGAGGACCGATTGTTGTCTCCATTTCCGAATCCCCCGTCGAGACTAGCAGGAGATTGCGAACCTCCTGCAACGCCATCCTTGTCAAACCTCCGGGACAGGTCCGTGCCACCTTGCGGATTCTGTCCTCTTCCCCGAAGCTCAATCCTCCTGCTTGGCTGTATCGACTGCTTCGCGATGCGGAGCTGCTGCTGTCCGAACTTGCAGTATGCTCCTTCTGGACCTTGCGAGCCTTCCTCATGAATTTGCTTACATGGACGTGTTTGTTGAGGTCTGTCCTGTCGAATAGAACTTTCAAGTCTTTCACGACGGCTTTGCTCGGCTGCTCCCTTTTTCTGTCCTGCTTCTTCTTCTGTTTCTTGAGCTTCGCGTCCGTGGGTGCTCCTAAGGTTTCCTGCTCCTGAGGGGGATGCCTTTCGTCCCTTTTTTCGGGTGGGAGGCCGGACATGGCGGCTCTCAGCATCGGCACTTGGTCGTCCTCCTGTCCTTCTTTTCCCACTGCCTGACAATTCTCCATCCAGTCTTCTCTCTCGTCTACAACTCTCAACATGGTCAGATGTAGAATGTCGTCTTGCACGAAATCCTTCTTGCAGTGCGCAGGGCACAAGTCTAGTGGACCCATAGGAGTGCCTCTTGCCCTCCCGCGGCCATCAAACTGCCCCATTTCATGAGCTCCTCTGACTGTGTACCTTCCAGACGCATCGCAAAGTACCGTCCTTTCGGAGTTACGCTTATTTCCCGCAAACATCCCGTCAGCAAGACTTCCGTCTGATAATAATCGCCTTTCACTAGGAGCTTGTCGCCAGGAGTGTAGTCCTCAAGCCGTATATCTTTGGTTAAAATCCATTTCGCCTCCTTTTTTGCTGTACTTCGGCACCTAGGGAGCAGGATGCTAGAAGGACGTCTGAAACCTCGTGGTTTTCTGAATTTCTTGGCTGGGATCTGGCCTTCACTGTAGCTTTTGCCTTGGCTTTCACTTTGGCCCTTGCTTTGGACTTTGCTTTCGCCCTGGGAGGCATTACCTCCCGCCCCTTCCTTTGATGCTCTCCTTGCCTTTTCCTTTTCCTCGCTGATACTTCGCTTGTCGCTCCCGCTTCTTCCTACCTTTGTTTGGCTTTGACAGAAAATCTCTCCTTGTCTGGTGCCGATGGATCCTCGTGCCTCTCGTCTGTATCCTTACTCTTCCTCTCAACATACCGCCTGGGCAATGGACTGCGCTCGCCCCGTACACTTTCCGAAGAAGGGTCCTCTTGCTCTACTTCCTCCTGAGAATCCTCTGTCTCTGACTCTACAATCAACTGCGGTCTGCTCGCTCTGGCTTTCGCTGTACTGCCCAGTGCTGATACACCATCGGTGTGACACCTTTGGGCTGCCAAATCGTCTAGTTGTCCTACTGCGGAATATAGAATCTGTAATACTTCCGACTCTCGCTCCGCAGGGAAATGAGGACCTCTAAGCACGTTCAAGATTCTTTCCCAAGTGCGGCAGACTTTGCACCTAGGAGGGTTGCCACAAACTTCGGTTGCAAATGTCCCCGCACAATTCCTACAGTCCATAAAGTTCGAGAGCCACGGCTACATGCATGAAGCAAGCAATTATGCCTTTCGCCCTTACCCACGGTGCGTAATAGTTTTCAGCATATGTATACACACTATATTCTGATGATTCCAGAACACTCTTGGATCGCCAGAGCATGTAATCCGCGCCTGATATTGAAGTGAGCTCCTCCTCCTCTGTCGGTAATGGCCCAAGGATTTTCGAGCAGCCATCGTCACGAAGCCAAGGGCCATGATGCCAAAGGATATTATCATGGCGCCACTGAGATCTGTCAGGGACAATCGCATGGTGTTTTCCTCGTCTGCCTCGGCCGCATCCTCGCAAAGAGGCTGAGGGAAGAGATCCTGATTGGCATTCTTCGCGTTTCTGAACTCACCTCCCGTGATTCCTTCGGTGAAGGCCCAGGAGAAGCTGTGTGCCATTTGGTCACTGATCGGGAAAGACAAAGGTAACGTCCAAAGGATTTCGCCCACTCTTATGAATTGGCAATCGCGGTCCAACTCACCACACTGGCCCTCATCGGAAGTCAGGATTCCGTCACGGACCAGGGCACAGTCCGCCTCGTTAACCTTGCCGCCGCGCATCGAGGCGATGGTGTCAAGCGAGATGACCATCCCCTGGCAAAGTCCTGCATGAAGTGACCG